TAAAAACTTATTACCAAAATTCTAGTTAGAGCCAGTTAAGCGTACATCGTTAGTTTTAATCACTATCTACTGTATTTTTAAGTAGTTATGAAGCCACAAAGAGAAATGTCTCATTACAGGCATGATGTGCTATTTGAGTCGACTAGTATCAAAGCCGGCAATCTGACTTTTGGACAATGATTGGTAAATCAGAAAAACGAATTATTGACTTTGTATTCCATTGGCAGTCACAAAACTCTTCGGAACGACATATTAGATAAATAACAGGTTAACTATTAACCTTTATTTAATGCAGATTTTGAACCGTATTCTTTGAAGGAGACGATTATATTCAAATCAATCTGAATTGACATATCAATAAAAAAAAATTGTCCAAATGCACAGATTGCCACCTTTGATAATAGACGACTCATTTGTCTGTCAATAAAACAACTAATTTAAAAAAAAAATGTGTGCGTGTACTAGTGTACACACGTAAGAAGTGAAACTTTTTTATGGCCTTATTTTTCGAAAAATGATCTACATGCAACTTTCTAGAAATTGGTTAAATAAAGTTAAATTAGATAAAGTTTAAACAAAAGGATTTTATTATCATAGACATGAATACAAAAAAGATGGCGCGTAACGGAAAAATGTGACGCGTAACCGAAAAATGTGACGGTAAATTTTTTTCCAACGCCGATAAAGAAGTTTCACTTCAAAAAAATGTGTGCGTGTACTAGTGTACACACGTAAGAAGTGAAACTTCTTTATGGCCTTATTTTTCGAAAAATGATCTACATGCAACTTTCTAGAAATTGGTTAAATAAAGTTAAATTAGATAAAGTTTAAACAAAAGGATTTTATTATCATAGACATGAATACAAAAAAGATGGCGCGTAACGGAAAAATGTGACGCGTAACCGAAAAATGTGACGGTAAATTTTTTTCCAACGCCGATAAAGAAGTTTCACTTCAAAAACCATCAATAAGAAATTGAATAAACAAATTCATGGTAATAAAAAAAATCTAGTTAGAGCCTGTTCAACGTACTTAGTTAGTTTTAATCTACTATCTACTGTATTTTTAAGTAGCTAAGAAACCTCAAAGAGAAAGGCCTCATGACAGGCATGAGGTGCTCTGGCTTGTCCAGGTCCAGGCTTCTAATTTCGTCTCCGCGGCAATAGCACTTGTGTTCCATCGTCATGGCTACTTGGGAATTTGCTGTGGAGGGTAAGGATAGGTTAGATGCTATGGTAGGAGGATATACTGAGGACTATTAGGAAAGGAGATTGCATTTTTTAGGGACAAAGGGGCAATCGGCAGGATGTTTTGGCATGAAACAAAAATATTTTTACTCGATTTACGATATTGTAAGGTGCCCCCTCGACTTACAATAACGTAACAATAATAACAATTTAGAACAGATTTTATTCATACAACTAGCGACCCGCATTCACTTTGCTTCGGAAACATTAAGTATTATTAGCGGAGTCCCGCGATGTTACCCGCGGTTATTATCGTACCACGGGTGACGCTTCGCCCAGTCTAAAAAAGTAGCCTAAGTTACTCCTTGTATCATCAGCTACCTATCAGTGAAAGCCTCTTCAAAATCGGTCCAGCCGTTCCAGAGATTAGCCGGAACAAATAGAGACAGACAAAAAAAAAAGGTATATATGTACCTACTTACGCATTTAGTAAAAAGTGGTTATTTTATTATTACAAACAGACACTCCAATTTTATTTATTTGTATAGATAAGATTGAAAAGGCAAAAAATAGGTAAATTATATTGCACAATGTTTTCGTGTTATGATTATGGGTGTACTACTTGTAAAGACGAACCAGACTCCAGACAAATATTGCGCAATACTGACCCTACACGATGCAATGAAAAAATATGGAGCAATAAAAATTAAACTAGCTCAAATTTTCTTTCAATCATTGTGCAATATTTAATATTAACCCTAACCAGTAATATTGCTTAATTCTCAATATAATTGATCGTCTAGACTGCCGCTAAAAATAAAAATTCCAAAAACGGGCGATTGTCCACTGCCCTCTCTCACAAAAGAAAACCTTTTTTTGAAAGACTTCAATTTTTAACGCTCAACTATTATCGCTATATCTACGTATCGAGTCGTACTTTGGAGCGAGGTCAAGTTCTTCAAAAAATGAATATAAGTTTAAGGTTATTTCCGTGAATTGTTCGAGCACATTCTAGTTCTATAAATGTGTTATGTAAAGAGCTCTGTTATTTATATAACATTTAACACTGATAACAATCTTGTATCTTTGTTTGGAAAGGTGTTACAACAATTAATTAGTGATATTATACGTGATTTTTTAATTTACAATGGTGGAGAGCTCTAGCCTTCGATTACTGGCCAGAAAGTCTAATTAGAGTTGGTCAGTATTTTTGTAAAATATATTTGGTATCCAGGCACTTTCAATGTGAAATGTTTATTTCAATTCAAAGGCTGTGTTAATGGTCTTGCCTATAACAACATTCGTTTGTAAATCAAACACCATACATTCCATTAAATATGGTGATACTATAGGTTATCAATATCTTGAAGTTCCGAACTACACAAAATATGAAATAAGTTATGAAAACTTTGTAATATGATTCTAATAGAATCAGAAAATTATTGGAATGATTGGCAAGAAATACACATTTACTACACCAACAATTTAACTATGAGACATTTCGATTAATTTCACTACTTTCTTTGTTTGATAAAAGGTAGGTATTTTTTTTATGAAGCCTTTCAGTTATATAATTATTTCACTATAGCAGTTTATTTATTGCAACTATAGGATGTACTTAACTGTAGGTTATGTTTGTTAGTTAATTTTATAACATTTTTCTCTTGTAACTAATTTCCCAAAAAACTTTGGATTAGATTTGCTATTATGGGTAGATTCCAAGTATCTGTACATTACTTTCACAAGCTGCGGGATAGTAATTCATCATTTAGATTTCGTGGCTAGTATTTTTTTTTTAATCCCTAATCAATTACTATTTACTAATTAACTACTCCATGCTATATATAAAAAAGGCCACAATACTACAACATAAAGTAGAAGCATGTTAAGAATCAGGAGTACCTGGTCGCTCTGCACTGTGGGCAAAAGTAAACCATACATCATTTCATTTTACTTTATTAAAAAGCATTAATTCTAATAATAAGGCCTGTGCCATGTCATATGTCCAAAATAATAAAGCATGCATTTCTTTTAGAGTTTATCCATGCAACTAATCAATTTGTATTAAATCATTACATAAAATTTTAATGGTGGTAGGTCCTCTTGTGAGTCTGTACCACCGGTAGGTATCACCGCCCTACCTATTTCTGTTGTGAAGCAGGAATGCGTTTCGGTTTGAAGGGCGGGGCAGCCGTTGTAACTATACTTGAGACCTTAGAACTTATATCTCAAGATGGGTGGCGCATTTACGTCGTAGATGTCTATGGGCTCAAGTAACCACTTAATACCAGGTGATCTGTGAGCTCGCACACCCATCTAAGCAATAAAAAAAATTGCAAATAACTAGTACGTTAAGATTGCCCTTGTAGGCAGACGAGCATACGGCCCACCTGATGGTGAGTGGTTACCGTCGCCCATGGACTTCAGCAATGCCAGGGGCAGAGCCAAGCCGCTGCCTACCGCTTAATACTCTCCACAAGCCTCGTTTGAAGAAGGACATGTCATAGCGCTCGGGAAACACCGTGGAGGGGAGCTCANGTCGCCCATGGACTTCAGCAATGCCAGGGGCAGAGCCAAGCCGCTGCCTACCGCTTAATACTCTCCACAAGCCTCGTTTGAAGAAGGACATGTCATAGCGCTCGGGAAACACCGTGGAGGGGAGCTCATTCCATAGCCGGATGGTACGTGGCAAAAAAGACCTCTGGAAACGCACTGTGGATGACCGCAGTGGTTCCAGGTAGTATGGATGAACTCTACTCCGGTGGCGGGCGGCACGATGGTAAAAACGAGATGCCGGTATCATCTCGAACAATTCCTCAGAGCACTCTCCATGGAACATACGGTACAAAATACAGAGGGAACCGAAGTCTTGTATGTCACTTAGGAATTAGAAATCAGACTTTTATTATTTTCATATTACAGTTTCCGATATTTAAATATACAGTTATCATAGTAGTATTAGTTAAAAACATTGTGTATATTTCAACAAATAAACCTCCTTATCTGAAAACAAAGTGAAAATAATAAATGAGAGATTAAGTCTTAAAAGTACTTTAGAAAGTCTTGAAAATATTGTTCCACATACCGTCATTTATTAATGAGTGTTTTATATTACTCCACTAATTGTTTGAAATGTTGCATGTTGAGACATCCCCATCACTTAAATGCAAAGTCTGGACCAGATTTCAAAGTTAAATTGCCAAACTCTTAAAACAAACCTACCTCTCTAATAAAAGTTTTTTAGGTAAATTTCCACTAACATCTGAAGATTCACTGAGATACCTTTTTCTAGGTACCCTTGTTGTCTGCATTATATACCTTTTAAAGAGGAACTGAAGTTTTAAAACTAGCTGTGGATACACATGTAAATGATTTTTATTTGAAAAAATTTATTAGATCACTTAATAACACATTTATCTATATACGCATGAGTCAGCTTCTGTTTAGCAACCCGAAAATTAAAGAATATTAATTGCAGACTGAAAATATTCTGTTTTAATAATTATCATCGCTGAGGATATCCGAAATTAAATTTATCGTATATTTAACAATTTAAATTCGGGTATTATGTTGATTTATATTATGCCAGGGCCTTCAAATCTGGTAGATGAAGCTAGACGATACCACGATCGTAATTAGTGAAGAACGCCAAAGAAATAAAAAACGCCGGTCTGGTTCTAGAACGAACCAAACATTTAAACAGTGACAACGTTACGTCCTTTGACATTGTTTCCGATTAACAATAGCAAATAGAAAAATTTGGGTATATTTTATATTAATATGGATCTGATAAAATACTGGGCTAGTACTTACCTAAAGACTTTTGAATAATAGACGAAAACCGAAAGCACCGGAGAATGACTCGCTTTTGAAATAAAAATGACAGTCGGATCTTGAAACCACGATTCTACCGGAACTCATCCGTCCACAGACTATAGTTAGAAAATTCCATAGATAAATTACTTCCAAAAATTTTCCGTATGGCAATCGGCCCTTTTTTGGAGAGACGGATTACTGGTCTCCGGGCCAATTTCACTTGGACAGGAGAACGAGCACGAGCTCAGCCGGAAGGGATGAGATATTCTAACGGCTGCCAGAGCGCCTCTGAAGTAGAGATCAAAGGCAGCAGCTTCGTGAATGCATCTACTTTTGTATTAAATCGCGGCCTGTTGAGAAGAACCGGTGTGAAATTCAATGGGCTGAGTTTGGATTAGGTTTCACGGGCACGGCTATCAAGGCTAATATACCTGTTCCTAGTGCTTGAGCTGTAGGTATCTATTAAAATAATAGTTGTAGTGGATATAGGTATTAAGTCGAAATGCAAAGTGTGCGCTGGTTTGAACGAATAAAAAAAGATATCAAGATAAAGATGGAGAGATAGTATATATTATATTTAGACACGACATTTGGTGCAGCTTTTTAAAAATTCAGGAATCATGCTACTGTAGCGACATCTAGAATTTAATCTATTTTACGGGAAATCAAAAAAACACTACTATGAAAATGTCATCATGTCATGATTTTTTTTGTAAGTTTCCTGTGGTGTGGCAATGTTCCGCGAGTTAACTGTTATTTACAACTTTTACCTGTGTACCTGTAAAAATATATCTACACCATGCTCAGCAGCTTAAACAAGGTTCCCGGTTTATTTAGCTACTGGCTTCACAATTCGAATTTTTTTTTCAAAATTAAATTTATTTCTGGTGTTATTAAATCAATAACGGTTGCAAAATAACTAAGTAACGGGATTGTTGATTATGGAAATGTAAATGTTCTAGCAGAGCGTTTGTTATCGTTTCTACATCCAATGATAGATGTCACTATTTTCAAAATTTCATTTTCATCTTCTTAATATAAATTACGTGTCACGTTGTTTGTCCGCGATGGACACCTAAATTACTAAACCGATTTTAACTTCTTTTTTTAAATACTTATGTGTCTTGTTCCAACTTAGGCCGCATGATGGTTTTATTTCGTTTAATGGTCGCAATATTTATTAATTAACAATAAAATGATTTCATAAGTTGATTATTGTTATTAATTGTAAGCTTCATAAGTCTAAAACGGATGGCGCCATAAATCAGTTTTTACAGACAATTGTAATACTGTCTGGCATTAATACCTTATAGATGGCGCTGTTATAAATACCAACGTTTCACATAAGCTACATAATAATATAATGAAAAATACATAATAATTTAATGGCATAAACACCACGTGTTCCTGAGGCTAAAGTATAAGTGAAATTTATTTCATAGTAAACGCAATACAGTGAAATCCAATTGTTCTTGCTTTGTTAATTTTTGGTATTACCATAGCCGGCCACGTGATAATTAGAAACAAAAACCTTAGCCACAGCAACGTGTGGCTGGGTGTGCTAGTTGATTAGAAAAATAGAAATACCTTTTGGCTGAAAACCACTTTTAATGTTTTATATCAATATTAAAACATTAAGAAGTCTTGCGTTCGATATTTGTAAATGGATGGTAAGCGGTTCTTATTGATTAATTTTATATTTTATGCACACTTCATAGCGTCTTAATTAATCAATTTTTTAATTTTCAAATTGTTCTGCTAAACTATTAATCAATACTTGTACTGCCAGTTCATGGCACTTAGGTGTTCATTTTATCAAATTGATTGTTTCAGTCGTACAATCTCGCAAGCCTTGTGAGGTTCGTCTCCCGTGTCCCGTAAGCCCCTTGAGTGGCCTTTGATCATGTTAACATTGATACGTAATTATGCTGAATCGAACTGCCATGTTCAGCTACATTGGACGCTTGAGGCGGCTTCTACAGTGACGCACTTAATAGATACCCACCCACCTGGGTCCTAGTATGGACTAGCATTTTATTTTATTTTTATTGCTTAGGTGAGTGAACGAGCTCACGGCCCACCTGATGTTAAGTGGTCACCGGAGCCCATAGACATCTACAACGTAAATGCCGCCATCTACTTTGATATATTAGTTCTAACGTCTCAGTTTCTACAGTACAACGGCTGTCCCACCCTTCAAGCCGAAACGCATTGCTGCTTCACGGCAGAAATAGGCAGGGTAATGGTACCTACCCGTGCGGACTCACAAGACGTCCTTAGACGTCCGGCACTGCACTGTGCACGATCTGTGCATTTACTGGTGGTAGCACAGTGCTACATGCACAGTACGTTGTCCATTGAAAAGTGCTAGCTGCGACAAGGTAGCTATGATAATGCTCCCGAAGAGGTATAAGTAGAATATTCGACGGTAGCCAGGGTTTGACTGTGGACTAACTTCTTACCCATTTCTTATTACTTTGGTAAACAAAAAGTTACCTTAGCCTGTCTGGTAGTCATGAAGAGCTGTGTATCTATGGAATTGAGTTATATTTTGATCGGCATGGTGTGACGGAAAGTTCGCGGTCGGCCATGGGACTAAACTAAAAAACCTTTTTTTAAGCTATTGCATAGCTTTTATCGCCTATGTATAGCTTTTTAAGCCTATGCATAGCTTTTATCGCGGGCTTTGAGCGCGGCGACAGAATCAAGAAATTCCGTAACGAAAATAAAACCTAACACGCCCCCTCCTCCTACCATGTAGCTCGCGTTCAACATATTATTTACACGTTGCGCTTGTGTAGTGTTTGTGAATAAGCGCGTGGCGTGACGTCGCACTGCATGCGCGTCATGAAAAGTCTGCCCATCTTTCTCTCGCGAGAGACTCTTATGAGTGTGAAGGGGACAGTTCATGTTTTGCTTTTCTTAATGTTTATAAATATAGTGTGGTCTTATTTTATTGTTGTTTTCATATTAAATTATTATTGTCTAATTATAATTGCATAAGTTGATAAAAAATGCTATACAATAGCTTTACCGGGGCAGTCCCCGAGAGCTACACGTGTTTTTTTGAAATCACAGACACAGACAATTTTTAGTTAACAATATTTTATTAGCTTCGTATGTTTGTGTGTTTTATTACATGTAATAGACGGTAGGTAGCGGCCTGGCTGTGCCCCTGTCGTTGCTGACGTCCATGGGCGACGGTAACCACTCACCACCAGGTGGGCCGTATGATCGTCTGACTATAGGGGCAATAAAAAAAATTAATCGTCAATTTCACCGACTTAAAAATGTCCTATTCGCTTGCAAATGAACACATAAGAATGACAGATGACAATAAAATAATATTACGATTGCGCTCTTATTTCTTGATCGTTATATATTATATCAACAGGATAAAAAAAACTGAAATTATTTGTTACTTGGGCTTCTATTTAAGCGTGTTTTTTCTGCTTCATGTTTTTAAACTACATATTCCTTGTAATTGCAGTCCGTAATGGTTTTGAACAAAACACAAAGGCGAATAAACCGTCAAACATAGAGGCAATTTCATGAATTAGCCGAGCAAGTACCGCGCGGTTTATAGAACATAAATCTTCAGCTTATCAATAATACATGAGGTCGGATACAAGAACGTGTACCGTGAATTTAACACAAATTTATGTATTTTATTACTACATCTCACAAGACGAGGGAAGCTGGCTTGGTAACATTACTTACATATTTTAAGGTTAGGTAGAGTTTTCGTTCTTGTCTGTAGAACATCTCTTCAATGTGGAACTTTTTAAAACGTTTTATCGAAGATGCTGGCTAATACGTTCGGAGATTTTTTTCGCTCAATGTTTACCAGTGCCTAACTGTGTATTCCAAACATTTTTTTTATTGCTTAGATTGGTGGACGAGCTCACAGCCCACCTGGTGTTACTGGAGCCCATAGACATCTACAACGTACATGTGCCACCCACCTTGAGATATAAGTTCTAAGGTCTCAAGTATAGTTACAACGGTTGCCCCATTCTTCAAACCGAAACGGATTACTGCTTCACGGCAAAAATAGGTGGGGTGGTGGTATCTACTCGTTCGAAGAGGTCCTACCACCAGTAATTACGCAAATTATAATTTTGCGGGTTTGATTTTTATTACACGATGTTATTCCTTCACCGTGGAAGTCAATCGTGAGCATTTGTTGAGTACGTATTTCATTAGAAAAATTGGTGAACACCGGTGCATCGCTTCAATACGAATGCACTGAACGCCTTATCCTTTAGGCCACGACTTCTTCAATGATGTTGAAGTCACCACCACAGCTGCGCTATCCATCCAGGAGTGCTTTACAGCAGGAACAGGTTAAGGGTTAACTGATAATGAATTGGGTGGGTAGTGGCTTGTTTGCACCACTGGCGCCCTTGGTATTGCTGATGTCCACGAACAACGATAATTTATCATCAAGCTGTCCGTATGCTCATTTTCCTATTGCTCGGTTACAATATCTCTGGACCTCGCTGGAATGTGAAGCCCTTCCCTGTTTCCCTTTCGCCAGGTCCAGAGATAATGTTACCGGATTGTATGTTAGCAATCATCTAGACAGCCAGCGTCGCGAGTTCGCTTAATGACCTTTTAAGTTTTGTACGCTTTACATTGCAACTCATGAAATCACAAAACACCCTAATAGTATTTGAATTAGCTAAATACTTTTTTTTCGGTTATATTATAATAGTGGTATATACCTACAATTTATATAAAACAATTTACGTAAATACAGTTGTACGGTTTGTCCACACAACCCTCTGTTGTGATAATGATAACAACAGCATGAGTAATTGTTTATTGATATGCTTACACTGATTGGTGACTGTTTATATGATAACAATGACATTATGTGAGTACGCGACGCCTTGCTGATGGCGGTACACGAGCTGTCTCGAAAAAAAAAGAAAGTTTATAAAAACTAACAGAATACACTTTTATAGAAAATCCAACTAAAAAATAGAATATTTTTTTTAATAAATTTGAATTAAATATAGTGTTAAAAAGATGATTTTATTGTAAAAAAGCGTGGGGTGCTTCTCAGGATATTATCGAAATATTAATTCTATTGATACCATGGACCC